ACAGGGAATATTATCATATAATCAATACAAAGTTATTTAAGACAAAAAGGGAGCAAAAATTATGTAGAAATTCTCAAGAGGAAATATAGTTAGTAAACAGTATTCAGCTTCATAACTTAAAAAATCAGATTAGACTATCAATAAAAACATATTTCTTATAGAAGCATATATAATATTCAAAAACAGTGGTAATATCCAGTGCTATCTGTGGTTCAATTATACCCATAGATTATTGGAAAAAGCATATAAAGTAGTATAACCATTTTGAAAATTAGTTTGATAATTTGTATCAAGAAGCTAAAGTGTTACTTTGATCCAATAATTGTCTTTGATTCTCTCCCAAGAAAATAATTCTGGATATTGAAAATCTTTATAAAGATGTTTAAAGTAGTCATTTGTGATAACAAATATTCCATCTTAAACTGAAGGTTAAGTAAATTTTGGTCATTAGTTTGATGAAATATTGGGAGCTGTCATAAATTGATATTTTTATAAGGACTGTTTTAGGGTAGGTAAATGTATGTAACATTAAGTTAATAAAGGAGACATTGTAAATGAGTATATCTACAAATAATAAGAGCAAAACAATTCATGGGTAAAATTTTAAAAGGATGGATTTAAAAAGAATATAGTAGACATTTACTTTTAAGCTCAATCAAGGTTTTAAGTATTTTAGAAACATCTGAAGGTTGCTTCTGAGACATATATTTGTATGATGCTCTTTATAAAGTTGGTGTGTAGGAGGGAGCCACTTTTGTTGGTGACTGTAGCCAGCTGCCCAGACCCTGTACATCAGTTTTTCCTTTCTCTGCACTTTCTCACATAAATATCCAGGAGGAGGATATATGCTCTTGTTCTGTTACTTGAGAATTTGGAGATTCATAAATTTCTGAGATACTGCTGTGCAAATTCCAATGCTCCACTGGCCAGTAGTTGCCTCTGTGTTATGGGGTTATATAATTTCCCCTCTTTCTAACATTTCTCTGACTTCTAAAATATCTTTAATGAACATGGTCTTATCTTAAAAGCTTTTATCCAGTTACCAGTTAATAATCTTTGCATTAAACTCTTCTCCCTGAGGTAATATGTTCTGCTTTTCCTATAATGTCCCATCTGCTGTTAATCCCATCCAGACATTACACATTTTAACTGACTTGTCTTACTTTATTATCCATGTCTATTTGACATGGTCAGTCTATTTTGATGGGGGCACATATCAAATACACTTACAGTAAATGTTGTGAAGTCCTTGTCTAAAAGTGTTATACTCTGTGCCATTGGTTCATACTTAGCATTTAATGGGAAAATACACAAATGCAAAAACACATTTTTAACATATATAAGTTATAATACTGCCCATTAAGTTTAAGAATTAGTGTATTAAAGTAACATAGTATCTGCTACTTCTGCTAATTTTTCCAAATGTTGTTAATGTTTCTGTGTATCCCAAATAATATATCATTTAGTCTTATATTTCTCAGTGTGAATTACTTGTTGCTGTGTGTGTTTTCTAAAACTTGTTCTTGTTTCTTAACATCGTGTTACTGAGATTCATTGTTATTGATATTTATACCATATGTATATACCTGTCATTTGTTTACTTTTACTCCTCTATAGTAGTACTTGGGATGAATATATTTCACATTTTTTTTTCTTTTGTTGACGGTTGTTTGGGTTTTCAGCTTTGTTTTTAAAAGTGCTACTATGAACATTCTTGTACATGTCTTCTGATACACATATATAAAAACATCTCTGTGGTATGTGCCTAGGAATGGAATATTTTGGTCATGGGGGATACATATATGAAACCTTATCAGATAGTCCCATATTGTTTTCCAAACTGGTTTTTACTAACTTATAATGTTGCTATTTATATATACACACATATATACATACGTGTGTGTATATAAACACATCCACATATATACATTTGTGCATATGTACATATATCCCTATGTGTGTGTGTTACTGTTGCAATGAACACTGTAATAAATGCCTTCCTGCTCAAATATATTCACCTTTTTCTTCTTTTTAAAAATTATTATTTATTCCCAGAAGCAGAATCATTGATTCAGAGGATGTGATTTTTTTTTTTTTTTTCTAGTAGGCTAGCCACCTTATTTTAATATTTGGTATTATTTTTCTTAACTTCTATTTACTTTTTAAAATTTAGTTTTATTTATTGTGAAAGTTATACATGTGTAATATACTCAAATAGCTCTACAAGGTTTTTTAAAAATGGCAATGCTCTGCCCTCTTCCTGGCCTCATTTACTCTTTCTCAGAGGCAAACTTTTCAGTCTTTTTCAGCTAATTATTTTAGTATTTGCCTCCATATCTGTAAATAATCTGCTTATATTTATACTTTTTAATTTTTAACTTCTTTGACCCCCCATTATGGAGCGTGAAGATTTACCCTCCTCATTTCTTTCGACTTCCAGCACCAACTCAATTTCATACGTGCTTTTCTCATTCATCTGGTTTCTTCTAAATAAATAATTTAGTACTAACATTGTTGTGAAACATAAGTGCATAGCTGAATTCTTTAGCAAACTATAGTTGTACTTCTTTTTGTTTTCTTTTAAACAAAGGAGGAGGCTAGTAAAAGAAGGGACAGTGGGCTAGGTATGGTGGCTCACGCCTGTAATCCCAGCACTTTGGGAGGCCGAGGTGGGTGGATCACGAGGTCAGGAGATCAAAACCATCCTGGCCAAAATGGTGAAACCCCATCTCTAGTAAAATACAAAAAATTAGCCAGGCATGGTGGCGCACACTTGTAGTCCCAGCTACCCGGGAGGCTGAGGCAGGGGAATCACTTTGAACCCGGGGGCAGAAGTTGCAGTTTGCTGAGATTGTGCCACTGTATTCCAGCCTGGCAACAGAGCAAGACTAAGTCTCCAAAAAAAAAAAAAAAAAAAAAGAAAAGAAAAGAAAAGAAAAAGAAGGGACAGTGAGGATTTTGGAATCAATAAAGACATTTTCTATTGCAAAATAGGAGAACATGTTAGTCAGCGTGAAGCGAGAGGTTCATGAATAGAAGGACAACTATAATAAAGTAGAATATACCAGAATGTTTATTCTGGTAGCCATGTGTACTATTGACTAGAATATTGAAAGCCTAGTGAAATGACTGATGTGCTTGAACTCCCTTTTATCTAATCTAGTAGATTAAATTTTTCTCATGTTAAGTACACCAAGAGATAATTAATATCATTTCTTTTCCACTAAAAGCAGTAGTCTCATAGTTTTCTCCTGAGGAGATGATAAATACATTAAATTCAAATAGATCAATTTCATTTCCTGCTACATTGTTGTGGTATATGAAGGGATCCAACAGGTATTTGTATTAAGTGGCTAGGAAGTTAATTTTGGCTGTGCACGCCACATTTATTAAGGTTTAATTGTCATGATGTGAGTAATGCTGCCATATTTCAAAGTTTGGCATTATATATATTTTTAAAAATTTACGTATTTTTAGAAGTTAAACTAGTTATTTAATACTTTCATTGTTCTAACCTGGGCAAATTTTATGAAGAGTTATATCTGTTATGATTTTTACATCTTTACCCTTTCACTGAGCAAATTGGAAGAATATTGGAGGAATACTCACTCTTTGAATATAAGCTCTTTTCTTTCAAGGCTCTTCAGATTGGCCTGGGATTATCTACTGAAAAGACTGTGTCAGAAAGACCAGGATTTAAATTCTGCTTTACCAGTTACTAGCCAAGTGAATTTGTTCAGATTACTTAAATTCTTCGGGTTTTAGTATCTTCATCTAGGTATGATGATATTTCTAGCAAGATTGTTTAGAAAATTACAAATAACAGAGGCATTAAAGTAATATATACCTTGTATCTAGCTTAATGTATTATACATGCTACATCTTTAAAAATGCTAGTCATTGTTATTAGAATCATCATCATCATTTTGTTCTTGGCTCCAGTCTTTAGATGTGCTTGACAAAGAGCAGACATATAAAAACTTGTACCACTGATAGTGATTGTATGCATCAGATAAATGGGAAGGGAAAATTTAGTATCATAATCCCTCTGTTCTTCTGTGGTGAGGGGCAGATGCTGGGGGTTGTTACTACTTTTCTTTTCTTTTTTTTCCTCTGTTGCTACATGTCTCTTACTGAAAAGTAGGTTTGTAGAATAATTAGTAACTAAAATAATATAGACCTTTCTCGAGCTGTTAGAGCCGTTTGCACTGCAAATCTAGCATGTTGTTTGGTTACTTCTTAAGGTGAGTGATTGTAAATGTGGTTTGGATAACTGGGGAGGTGGGAGCTGGTGGTGGTTATACAATGTGATGAAGGCCTCTTTTTTTATTTAAAAATACTGGGGCCCAGCTACTCAAGAGGTCAAGATGGGAGCATCACTTGAGGCCGGGAGTTTGAGACCAGCCTGAACAACATAGTGAGACCCTGTCTCTTAAAAAAAAAAAGAAAGAAAGTAGTTGGGCATGATGTCAGGTACTGGTAGTACCAGCTACTTGGGAGGCTAAGGCGGGAGGACTGCTAGAGCCCAGGAGCTTTGAGACTATAGTGAAATATAATCACATGTGTGACAGTTCACTACACTCCAGCCTGGGCAGTGTATTGAGACTCCTCCATCTCTTAAAAACAACAACAGCAGCAGCAAAAAAAAAACTGTAGTTCCATCTTGAGAATTTTCTGAAAATATGAGAATATTTATTTACTTTAAAATACTAAATTTGACACTTTTAAATGTGATCTCTTGACATTTCCTTAAACTTGTAATAATCATCGTTTCTATTCTTGTTTTACCAAATCTGTCTTATTTGGAGCATTTAACTCCAGCATAAATTACTTATTAAATAGAAAATATTTGGGAAACTGTATTTTTTAAAATATGGATTTTGAAAGGCAATCCTGTTTAATAGCCTTTTTTTTTTTTTTGAGCAGTTATACGTCTTTTAATACCTTGATATTTATTCAGTATTGAAATATTTGAATGTGTGTGTTTTTGTTTTAAACAGATTATCTTTCTCAAGGAATAGATCTTTCTGGAATAGAAGTGATAGAAAATGACCTACTTTTTATTGCAAGAGCCCGACTTGAAGTGGAAAATCAAGCTAAGCGCCTACTAGAGCAGGGTTTGGAGACTCAGGTAATAAAAATAAGACTTTTTTAATGTGAAAAAATGTCTCATAATACAGGTGAACATTTGACTTTGAGTTCAAATAAGTAATATATGTCTTCATTTTATCACTGAGAAAGTATGTCTACAATTTAAATCAGAGAATAGTCATAGTTAAGGGAAATTTTAATATATGTTCAGTATATTTAATTTAAAAATAGACCTAATGTTTCTAATGTATAATGTATATAACATGAAATGTATTTTTTATGATGTGCATATGTAGATAGATAGCTGACCATGCATGCTTTGTCTAAAGTGTGGTTCCTCATTTAAGCCTTTCAACAACCCAGTAAGATTGGTATTATTGTTAATTTTATTTTACAGTTGAAGAAACAGAACTTAAATAAGTTGTTGAAAATCACATAGCTAGTAAATTAGTTTGGATTCAAATTTTAATCACTCTAGTCCCAGAACTTTTCAATCTTAATCATTATGCCATAATTTAAAAAATTTTTGACTTGACATTTCTCCTAGGGTATCATTTTCCTGATGCTTAATTTTCTGAATTAGAAGAAATTCAAAGGTATTGATGTATTAGATTCAACAACTTAGAATTAGATCTTACATCTACCCTTGTGTTATACCCAGGTATTTTCTCCATTCGTATTGGGCTCCAAAATAATTATTAATACTTAGAGTTTTTTCATATCCTCTAAACCAGGAATTTCATTTTGTGTATTTATATTAGGCAGAAATAATGTTATTAATGTGCTGTTCTTTAAGTAGCCTCTAAATCAGGAAGGTACTTGACTTCTGATTCCTAAATAGTTGTAATTTTTAAAATATAACTGAATCAGGTAGTTATTCTTTTAAAATTGAATATTATATGCAAAATGAAAAGTGGACAAATCATAAACTTTCATGTAGAATGAATACCACAGTGTGAACATACCGTGAAATCAAAACCCAGGTCAGAAATGGGACATTACCAGTACTCCTAGAGTTTCTTTGCCCTCTCTTGCAATTTTTACTCTCTTCTGTCGTCCCCAAAGATAATTATTATTCTAACTTCTAACATTAGAGATTACTTTTAGTTGTTTGGTCAATTATGTTTTAACTCTAGGTCTCCGTATAAGGATGGAACTCTTACACTGTTTAAAAAAAAAAAGAGTATTTCTCTACATTAAATAAGAGAAGATACTTTTTTTTAGATCCTCAAAAGAGAAGGAAAAGATAACTCTATTAATCAAACATTTTGCCCTGAATTTCAAAACAAGAAAGGGTAGTTGCCTTCCTAAAGAAGTGGCGTCTGGGTTTGACTTTGTAGCCCTCCATCCTATAAGAATTATGCCTTTTTTTGGGATTTTATACAGGGGATTTATTTTCTATAACATATTGTCCTCTCCCTCATATGGTTGCTTTTATCTCCTAATCCTTTTGTGTCTGCCATCTCTAGGACTTCAGCAGTACTGTTTTCTCTCCATTCTAAATCCCATCATCGTGGATGTTACCAATACCTATGGAGGTGGTTATTCTCATATGTTGGGCTCACAGTAGTTTGACATCTACTAGCCCAAACTTGAGTCTAGTGCCCTTCCCTTCCATCCTATTTCAGTATCTTTCCCTCCTTATTAATGTTGAATATTGTCATTAGCATTTGGTCTAAGTCTCCAGTGTCTCTTCCTTTGACTGTAGATTCCTATTTTTTCTGGCCTCCCACTCCCTTGTTCCTGTTATAACTCATAATTCTTTTATTAACCTAAAACATCAGTCTCTTGGCCGGGCACAGTGGCTCACATCTGTAATCCCAGCACTTTGGGAGGCCGAGGCAGGCAGATCACCTAAGGTTAGGAGTTCGAGACCAGCCTAACCAACATGGAGAAGCCCCATCTCTACTAAAAATACAAAATTAGCCAGGCGTTGTGGTGCACTCCTGTAATCCCAGCTACTCGGGAGGCTGAGGCAGGAGAATTGCTTAAATCTGGAAGCTGGAGGTTGTGGTGAGCCGAGATCTTGCCATTGCCCTCCAGCCTGCGCAACAAGAGCAAAACTCCATCTCAAAAACAAAACAAAACAAAACCATCAGTCTGTTAAGTCATCTATAGCATAAATGCCTTTACTACTCGATGGTTTTCTACTCTGTCAACCTCATATCTGTCCCCTTCTCTGGCTCTACTTATTTTTTTGTATTAAGTTGATCAAAGATGTGTCTCTTCAACTGTTCACCTAACTAATGATTCTCAAACTTCACCATGCATCAGGTTGATGGGAGGACTGGTTAAACACAGACAGCTGAGCCCAACACCCAGAGTTTCTGATTCAGTAGATCTGGTACCAAGAACCATTGCTCTTGATGATACCCTCAAATTCTCTCACCTTTGCCTTTCTACTACTCCTGCACAGCAAAATGCCATCTGTGAACCATGCAACATTTATCCCTATTTTACTTCTATGCCTAGGCTTGTCATTGCTCTTAAAAAACAAAAACAAAACAAAACAAAACACAGACAACTGTAAGATTGATGTAACCAACCAAAATTTACGATTCTGAGATGCAGCTGGGTTTCAATTACTTTTTTTTTTAAAGTTATTACATCTTTATTGTTTTAATTTTTTATTATACTTTAAGTTCTAGGGTACATGTGCACAACGTGCAGGTTTGTTACACATGTATATATGTGCCATGTTGGTGTGCTGCGCCCATTAACTGGTCATTTACATTAGGTATATCTCCTAATGCTACCCCATCGCCCCTCCCCCCACCCCACGACAGGCCCCTGTGTGTGATGTTCCCCTTCCTGTGTCCAAGTGTTCTCATTGTTCAATTCCCACCTATGAGTGAGAACATGTGGTGTTTGGTTTTCTGTTCTTATGATAGTTTGCTGAGAATGATGGTTTCCAGCTGCATCCATGGTATGTTCATCCATGTCTTGTGCCAGTTTTCAAAGGGAATTTTTCCAGTTTTTGCCCATTCAGTATGATATTGGCTGTGGGTTTGTCATAAATAGGTCTTACTATTTTGAGATACGTTCCATCAATACTGAATTTATTGAGAGTTTTTAGCATGAAGGGCTGTTGAATTTTGTCAAAGGCCTTTTCTGCATCTATTGAGATGATCATGTGGTGTTTGTCTTCGGTTCTGTTTATATGCTGGATTACATTTATTGATTTGCATATGTTGAACCAGCATTGCATCTGAGGGATGAAGCCCACTTGATCATGGTGAATAAGCTTTTTGATGTGCTGCTGGATTCAGTTTGCCAATATTTTATTGAGGATTTTTGCATCAATGTTCATCAGGGATATTGGTCTAAAATTCTGTTTTTTTTTGTTGTATCTCTTCCAGGCTTGGTATCAGAATGAAGCTGGCCTCATAAAGTGAGTTAGGGAGGATTCCCTCTTTTTCTATTGATTGGAATAGTTTCAGAAGGAATGGTACTAGCTCCTCCTTGTACCTCTGGTGGAATTTAGCTGTGAATCCCTGGTCCTGGACTCTTTTTGGTTGGTAGACTATTAATTATTGCCTCAATTTCACAGCCTGTTATTGGTCTGTTCAGGGACTCAACTTCTTCCTGATTTAGTCTTAGGAGAGTGTATATGTCCAGGAATTTATCCATTTCTTCTAGGTTTTCTAGTTTATTCGAGTAGAGTTGTTTATAGTATTCTCTGATGGTAGTTTGTATTTCTGTGGGATCGGTGATGATAACTCCTTTATCGTTTTTTATTGCGTCTATTTGATTCTTCTCTCTTTTCTTCTTTATTAGTCTTGCTAGCAGCCTTTCAATTTTGTTGATCTTTTCAAAAAACCAACTCCTGGATTCACTGATTTTCTTGAAGGGTTTTTTGTGTCTCTATCTCCTTCAGTTCTGCTCTGATCTTAGTTATTTGTTTCCTTCTGCTAGCTTTTGAATATGTTTCCTGTTGCTTCTCTAGTTCTTTTAATTGTGATGTTAGGGTGTCAGTTTTAGATCTTTCCTGCTTTCTCCTGTGGGTATTTAGTGCTATAAATTTCCCTCTACACACTGCTTTAAATGTGTCCCAGAGATTCTGGTGTGTTGTATCTTTGTTCTCATTGGTTTCAAAGAACACCTTTATTTCTGCCTTCATTTCGTTATGTACCCAGTAGTCATTCAGGAGCAGGTTGTTCAGTTTCCATGTAGTTGAGCAGTTTTGATTGAGTTTCTTAATCCTGAGTTCTAGTTTGATTGCACTGTGGTCTGAGAGACAGTTTGTTATAATTTCTGTTTTTTTACATTTGCTGAGGAGTGCTCTACTTCCATCTATGTGGTCAATTTTGGAATAAGTGTGATGTGGTGCTGAGAAGAATATATATTCTGTTGATTTGGGGTGGAGAGTCCTGTAGACGTCTATTAGGGCTGCTTGATGCAGAACTGAGTTTAATTTCTGGATATCCTTGTTAACTTTCTGTCTCGTTGATCTCTCTGATGTTGACAGTGGGGTGTTAAAGTCTCCCATTATTATTGTGTGGGAGTCTAAGTCTCTTTGTAAGTCTCTAAGGACTTGCTTTATGAATCTGGGTGCTCCTGTATTGGGTGCATATATATTTAGGATAGTTAGCTCTTCTTGTTGAATTGATCCCTGTACCATTATGTAATGGCCTTCTTTGTCTCTTTTGATCTTTGTTGGTTTAAAGTCTGTTTTATCAGAGACTAGGATTGGAACCCCTTCCTTTTTTTATTTTCCATTTGCTTAGTAGATCTTCCTCCATCCCTTTATTTTGAGCCTATGTGTGTCTCTGCTCATGAGATGGGTCTCCTGAATACAGCACACTGATGGGTCTTGACTCTTTATCCAGTTTGCCAGTCTGTGTCTTTTAATTGGAGCATTTAGCCCATTTACATTCAAGGTTAATATTGTTATGTGTAAATGTGATCCTGTCATTATGATGTTAGCTGGTTATTTTGCTTGTTAGTTGATGCAGTTTCTTCCTACTATCAATGGTCTTTACATTTTGGCCTGTTTTTGCAAGTGGCTGGTACCAGTTGTTCCTTTCCATGTTTAGTGCT